CTTTGTTTAATCCTCTCCTTCTATGTGCCTTTCTTTTTTCTTTGTCCCTCTCAGTGTCTCTCTCTTTTACTCTTTCCTTCTGTGTGGTTGTCTCTCTCCTCTCTTCTATTTCTCTCACATTTGTCTCTCACTCTCTGCATTTCTCCTTCCTTTTTCATGATCTCTCCCTCTATGTATCTGTCTGTCTTTCATCTGATTGTCTCTCTATATCTGTCTCTCACCTCCGTCTCCCTTTCATTTGCTCTCCTTCCTTCCCTTTCTCCCTTTGTCTCTTTCTCTCCCTCCCCCCACATTTGTCTTTCTCTCTTTCTCATTCTTTCTCTCCCTCTCTCCTTTTCTCTCTCTTTTTCCCTCTCTCTCTCTCCTTCTCTGTCTCTGTCTCTCTCTTTTTTCCCATATTTATCTCCCCCTCCCTCTGTATGTGTCTCTCTACTCTGTCTCTGCCTGTAGTTCTCTCTCCCTCTTTGTATACAACCCCACTCTAGCCCTCTACAAGCCTATATAAAGCATAGATCAGATTCTGCAGCCCAAGCATGTCTGTTCCCTTGTTTGGCTGCAACCAGGGCTGTGGGTGCTTAAGGAAACTGCCAGAGTGAGAAACAGAAGAGGAGAGGCACCGAGTTACAGGAACAGGGACCAATTTCACATCCTACTCAGTGGATTGCTCAACACAGAGTATCAGCAGAAGTTGTTCCCCGGCCTACTGGCCAGCCCTACCACCCACAGCCTCTCTCCGCATTGCACACATTCCAAGCAAACCTCGAAGCACAGCAGCCCCGGAAAGGGGGAACTGCAGCAGACAGCAGCACCAAGGCCATCGGAGCCAGAAATATTTAACCCTTTCCCCACAGCAGTTCTCTCTGAATCTACCTTCTGCTTTTGGAAACTGGGCTGCGCTTCCTGCCCTTTCTTAATCAGCTGTCCACGGAACAGAGCTCCAGATGGAATAGGATGCTGCCAAGCGGAGAGAGACAAGGGAGCTGGGATGGTAGGCCCCTGAATTCCTTTCCACAAACGTCATTTCAGCAAGCATTCATTAAGTGCCTACTATGTACAAGGCATTATGCTGGGTCCTAGAGATACAAAGATGAAATTTTAAAACAGATCTTGCATTCTAATGAGGTGGGTGCAACATTTAAATAGATAAATAAAGAATAAGTTAACAAGAGAAAAAATGCTAATAGCTAGGGCGGGGTCAAAAAAGGCTTCTCGTAGAGGATGGCACTTGGGTTGAGCTTTGAAAGTGTGTGAGAATTCTCAAAAGCAGTGGTGAGGAAGGGGTGCATCATCGGCATGGAGTCAGGAGATGGGGTACTGAGTTGAGGGGAACAATCATAGGGTAGTTGGACTGGAATGGAGAATGTGTGAAGGGTAGTATCATGTTCCTAACCCATTCACTTGTTGAATGAGATTAGGTAAATCATTTATGGTCCCTGAGCCTCAGTTTGAAGGCATGGATGGCATCTATTGCAAAGTGCTGGGGGATATGAGAAAGAATGAACAAAATGTGATCCTTGCCTTCTAGGAGCTTCTGATCTAGTCAGGGAGATAAAGCATGGTCAAATCCTTATCACATGAGATAGTGTAATAAGTGCCACAAAAGAGAGCTAGGGGAGGGTTCCATCAGCAGGTCCTACTTTAGAATCCCTGGGATGTTGCAACATCAGCTCCAGGGCTTCACTGGTGGAGCTTGGTCCTTTAAGAGAAACAAGGAAGTGGTGTACCTAATTGCGCAAACAAAAGCAAAAAAAATTTTTTTTAAATCGCTGCTCACAGGATGTTCATACTCATGTTACTAGTTCTAGTCTGTATATGTCTCTCTATAGTTGGAATACTAGTGTTGAGCTCTCCTGAAGCGCATGCTGGCTGTTACTAGGCACGCATATTCTCGATTCAGAGTAGGGTAGAAAACATGTATAGGCCTAGCTTCCCCTAACTAGATCATAAGCTGTCTAAGGAGAACAAGTCTTCTAAGAGTCTCATAAGAAGCCTCCTTTTCTACCTAAACCCTCCCCACAGTTAGGTGACTCTTGGATCGCTAAAGTCAAGAAGACCTGAGTTCAAATCCAGCCTCAGATACTTACTAGCTGTGTGACCATAGGCAAATCACTTAACCACTGTCTGCCTCAGTTTCCTCAACTATAAAATGAAGATAATAATAGCACCTACCTCCCAAAGTTTTGTGAGGATCAAGTGAGATAGTTATAAAATACTTAGCTCAGGGCCTGACACATAGTAGGCTCTTAATAAAAGGTTGTTTTGCATGTTTCTTTCCTTTCTTCCTTCCCTTCTCTCCACTACCCCAACCCAAGGCTCTGAAAAGAGCAAGTGTCCTATAAATGTCTTAAAAATCATAGAATGTCAGAACTGGGAGGGACTTTAGAGATCATCTAATCTGACCTATTCATTGTGAAGATGAAGAAGTAGAAACCCATATAATAACTGACATTTATATAGCACTTTAAAATTTGCAAAGTGCTTCACATTTATGATCTAATTTGAACCTCACAACAACCCTGTGACGTAAGTGCTACAGACATCATGAACCTCCCTTATAGATGAGGAAACTAGGGCTCAAAGTAGCTTTGGCCAGAAAAATGGTAAGTTTCAGATTTGAAGCCAGTCATTCCTGACTCCAGAACCAGCACACTATTCACTATTCCAGTACACAACAGAGATGAACCAACTCAGCCAATATCATACAGTAAGCTGGGGCTGTCAACTGATTACCAATTCCTGTTCACTAGACTCAAAAGTAACTTGAGGCATGACTCCCAAATACTAACACCAAGAATCCTGCATGAAGGATTGTAGCTGGTAATGGGGGCAACTAGTGTGATAGGAAAACAAGGTGATTCTAGTTAAATATGTGCCATTTTCACTGATATCAATAAAAAGTTGATGACCTGGAATTCTCATCTCTCCACATATCTTACATTTATGCGCTCATTTCATGTAGTCTAGAAATACCAAGGTCAGAAAGGAATGAGATTTAAACCCATTTATTCATTCAATTCTCTTCTCTGACCATAATTTCCTGTTCTTCTATCGCTCCTACTCCCTTACTCCTCTATAGCTGTTCTTTACTCTTATTGTAATCTTTGGACCCTCAATTTTTGCATATTCTCCTGGTAGACAAGTCTGTTCTTGCTTCAGTTTGTCAGTTTAACATTTATTAAGTTTCTACTATGTGCTTGACATTGTGCTAAGCATTGGGGATACAAAGAAAGGTAAAAGACAGTCTGTGCTCTTGAAGAGCTCGATCTAATGGGAAGACAACATGTAATCAACTGTGTATAAACAAGCTATATACAGGATAAATAGGGAATAATCAATGGAAGGAAGGCAGTAGGATGAAGGAGGATTGGGAAAGATTTCCTGTAGAAGGTGATATTTTAGCTGGGATTTGAAGGAAGCCAGGGAAGCTAGAAGATGGAGAAGAGAAGGGAGAGCATTCCAGGCATGGGGGACAGAAAAAGAAAATATCCAGAGCCCAAAGATGGAGTGTCTTGTTCTAGCAATGAGGCCAGTGTCACTGGATCACAGAGTACATAGTAGGGTGTAAGGCATAAGAAGACAGGAAAGGATGGGGATGGGGAGATGGAGCAGGTTATGAAAAGCTTTGAAGGCTAGAGGATTTTATATTTGATCCTGGAGGTGATAGGGAGCCACTGGAATTTATTGAGAAAGCAGGTGACATAGTCAGACTTGGATTTTAAGAAAATCACTTTGGGGGGCAGCTAGGTGGCGCAGTGGATAGAGCACTGGCCCTGAAGTCAGGAAGACCTGTGTTCAAATCCAGCCTCAGACCAAACACTTGACACGTACTAGCTGTGTGACCTTGGGCAAGTCACTTAACCCCGATTGCCTCACTTTAAAAAAAAAAAAAAGAAAAGAAAATCACTTTGGTAGATAAATGAAGGATAGACTAGAGTTGGAAGAGACTTGTGGCAGGCAGACCCACCAGCAGCTATTGCAATAGTCTAGG